CGCGACCGGTCTCTCATCATCTCCTCACATGCTGTTAACTGAGTTCGCCTGCCGATAAAAATAACGCCCAGAGAGGGGTTGGGTGTAGCATCTCCCCTCCCCGAGTTCACAGCTCTCTCTCTCTCTCTAATCGGTAAATCTGAACGCCGACGGCATCAAAAGGCATTGGCGGAACGAATTCTCTGGCCAGCCAAATTCTCAGTGAGATTCAAGCTCAGCTAGGCGCGGCAACCAAGAGCGTACAAGTGTGTCCAAGGGGGCGGGCATGCATTCTTGGCGCCCCAACGGAGATGCGAGTAGACTGATACAGCAGTGGTTATAGCTTGCTATGCCATCAGCAGCCAGAAACACAAATATGCAGCTAGTACACAGACGGCGTCATTCCACAAAAGTCCGCTAAAGGACGTATGAGGTGGGCACAGAGTAGTTTAATGGCGTTTGCTTGAATGTGCCAGCACAGAAGGAGATATCAAATACTTTTATTCTGAGATGTTTAACATCTTCAGTGACGAATTGTCAGTTAAGCAGGAGAGGTGAAAACTCACATCCCTGATTGTTGAACTGAGCAGTCATCAGAGGGTTTACACTTCCTTCAGGTAACATTATTCGTTAACCCACTTAAACATGAATTCCCGCTGAAATTGTTAGGTGTCTTGAAATATACAGAAATGAAGAGTTATACTTAAAAGGCTATCGCGCAATTTACACGTTTATCATTTTTTAAAATTCCATTAAGAAGACAGTTTCTTCTGTTATCTGTGTACAGCTTACCGTACCTATTTGAGAAGCGTTCGAATAATAGGATATTTTCAAGGTGCCATTACGACAGATCGTATCACGTTCGCTGTGAATTGGCCAAAACGGTTGAAAGTGCAGGAATTTCCCCTGTTACTGGATACAGCCCCGTCCGTTTAGGTCAGAGCCTGTCCTCGTAACGAAATCATTTACGACCGTACAGATTGTAACGATTAGTGAAGTGCAGCTGTTATACTGTCAAGCAGGAAACGTGGAACTAACTGTAAAAATAGTGGTAGACAGAGCTTTCAATGAGAATTTAGCAGCCACCCATGACTATACCCGGGGAGGTACATGCTCTATGTCTATGATTTTTTGGTGTGTTTTATCACCAGGCTAGTCTGGAAGATATAAAAAAGACCCATTTTATGGACTATTTAGACTTCCCTAATGCTAATATTCGAAAGCACAAAATATTCAAAATGGGACATTAGGTTTTTTTTATTTCCAATTTTGACCTATATTCGTAACGCATTTGAAGGGCCGGCTTGGAATTGAGTACAAGGGACACGACTGTAGCGCTATTACTGAAGGCTCTTCGGAGAGTATGATGTGAGGAACGCAACTTCCCAGATTATCCATGAATTAACAGCCAAATTGATGAAATACACGTCTGAACTGTTAGCGGATGCTCACGGAAGTTGACTTA